CGAAAGAAAATGGCGTTAAGCTGTCAGGTCAGTTTTCAACGGCTCTTACATGCCGCACACGATCCAGCGGAGCAAACCCAGTTTCTGGACGAGGCGAAACCCAAGCGACGCAGATGCACCTACGCAGCGCGACGGATAAAGTCGCAGTTGACGTGTGCACCAATGCTCTCTTGTTGACCCTGTAAAATGTTCTCACTGACAGGAGGAGGCTAAACGACTTCGCGAAGAGCTCCACGAACTCGAGCCGGAAGTCGCAGTGCTGAAATATCGGTCTGGACATGGTCCAGATGGAGATCCACGCTTAAAACAAGCTGTCGTACAAGCTGGCGCGAGGCTGTGCTGCTGAGGCTACCTACTGGCATTTCGAGAAACTCCTTGTTCCGCCTAGCTAGGGCTGTTAGACATTAGTGGTAGGATGTTCACTAGCAATCAACTGTTGACAACCGTTCACTCCAATAGATAGATAAGAGCAATGCTTGAAAAGCGTATATCTCAAATGTGCAAACTCAGTGTGTCGGTTGCTTACGCTTAGAACTCGGCCTCGTCGCTGGACTCGCCGTCATCGTCATCACCATTCGCTGCAGCAGGAGCGACTCCCTTAGCAGCCGCGATCTCCTCCGAGGCCAACGCCATGGCAGCCGCGGCAGCACGACGTCGTGAGCGCGGGATGATGTTGGACGTGTCGACACCGATCAGATCGTCCTCTGTCATCTTGAGATCGGGCTCCGACTCGTCGCCACTGTCCTCGCTGTCGCTATCGCGCGTCCGCCGCTTCTTCTCCTTGGGCGCCATATCTTCCTCATCGCTGTCGTCCACATCATCGTCATCATCTCCTTCCTCGGCGTCCTCATCTTCTTCATCCTCGTCGTCGTCCTCATCCTCGTGTTGATCCTTCTCTTTCCTAACCTCCTTCTTCCCCTTGGGGGGCTCTTCCTTCTTGTCCCCAGGCTTGAAGAACGACGTGATCTTCGCGCCTTCCGGAGCCTTGCGCTTCTGGCCGGCAGTGTCCTTCTCCGCACTGCAAATTAATATACAAAACAGCGGCAAATGCGGTGTCAGAGACTGCGAAACGAACGAGTGCATCCGTTGGGACGCAATAGCATCTATATAATGTGGACTTACGACTTAGCTACGGCTTTCTCATCGCTCCCCATGCTGCAGCAGGTACTTGAGACGCAGACGAAGCTGTGGATGTGTTCAGTGGACTGCTAAAGGGCGCAGGAGACGCAGAAGTGAGCGCTAGAGATGCAGCTCGACGACCGGGGAGTTGTGCAGAGCTGTTGGCTCGGACCAACCAAAAGTGCACCACACTAAAAATAGCCAGCGGTAGAAAACCGGTACCGAAGCGGAGCAGTGTACCCATCCACTTCAACTTGGTCCATTTAACTGCTACAGTTTGGCGACTATCGAATATAAGTTTGTTGATGCGATGAAAGATGAAATGCAAAAAAAACTTATTTCTGTCCTAGTATGTTGGTAGGTTGGTTCTCATTGTCCCTGGTTTGCGCATTTTAGTGGACCAATCGCAGTGAAACCGAACGACCGAAGTTGATAACCATGGAGACCAACGCGCCAACTCCGACAGAAGGCCAAGTCCCGGCCGATGAAGCGATCGAGCCGGAGACTACAGCGCCGACGATGACGCCCACTCCTGCTGAGCAGGCGTACCGTGCGAGGTACAATGAAACGATCGCTCCTCCCAGTGGCCCGTCGTCTCGATCGGTAAGGCAGACAGAAGTTGTAAAAACTATCGAGTTTGCTCACCTTACTCTGGTGCTATTGTGCTAGATTCGACCACCGAACGCTTTCCCTCCCGAGTCCAAACGAGCGGATCAGATCGAAGATGCTGAAGAAGATCTCGAGGTCGACATGGAAGAGCTCAAAGCTGCGGTTCACGCTTACAACGTCGATTTCCAGCAGCGCATCGTACGACAAAACTACTTGCTTTTCTTCTCCCTCAAACTAATGGCATTGAATGCTGCAGGATGCAGTAAAGCAGCGAGGACGCGACCTCGAAGCGAAGTTAGGAACAGAGCACGACGCTATGACGAGCTCCATCAAGCAATTGAGAGCGGACTTTAAAAAGCAGTTCCAAACAGCCTTCCTCACACTGGAACAGAAGATGCTCTCGCATTTCGCACGTCTCGAGGTGCAGGAGATCACCGTTCAAGAGAAGAAGTAAGTTCCCACAAACTTAGCACCTAGCTTATCTAACCATTATTGTACAGACTACACGAATGCGAGTCCGAGTTCGGCACATTCGCGTACACGACCGTGCCCGATATCATGGAAAAGTTACAGGGTACAATCACACGGAAGTTAGAGAAGAACCACGAGACGTTCGACATTGAGAACGCCAAGATCCAAAAGCGCGAGAAGAAGACTCTCCACGCTCTAGAGAGCAATGAGCGCAAGACAGACGCAAGTTTCCGTACTGAGACTGCGCGACGCATTGCCAAGTTCCAGGAACGCGAAGAGGAGTTCCACCACGTCATGCGCGTCGACAATCGCAGTGTGGAGCGAGATCAGTCGCAGCAGATTCAGGGACTGGTAGCTCTGCACACTCAACTAAAAGCCGAGAGCGCTCAACGTGAAAAGGAAGACCTGCAGATTCTAGACAATCTATCGTCTTCTTTTGGAAGACTGCAAGCCAGTATACTCGAGAACCTAGGAGAAGACACCACAGCCGCGTAATATACACACAAAACACTCCCAAAAGACAGAAAACTCGAGTGGAGGAACGACTAAAGGATGTGAATATTGGATTGGAAGGTCGAAGGCGGCACATGTTGCCCCCAATAAGCGGTCGAGACGGTCGCCTCCGCACGCTTTTGGCCTGTTTTGTTGATCGTCGCTCGCACTCAAGAGCTCCACGTTCCACTTTCGCTTT